TTTTGAACCAGGGATTGAACTCAGGCCCTTGCACTTGCCAGGAAGTGCTTATTCTACTGAGCCATATCTCTGACCCCTCCCTGTGCTTCTAAAATTGGAATTCAGAGCTGAGTTTGCTCAGTGATCAGGAATAGCCTGTGAAGAGCAAAGACCTGCATTTCCTTGTCCTCAAGGAGGCTTAGGCACAGTTTAATTTCCTGAGGTTTTGAGACTCTCCAGCTTCAGCCTATAGCAATAACATTCTTCTACTCTCTACCTGGCTTAATTTTTCTTCTTTATAGTCATTTTAACACTGGATTCACCTTTCTTGCCTTGAGAAGTAGAGATGACTGTGCTCTAGACATAGCAAGATGGAAGAACATGAGCTGAATGAAGTGTTTACCTCCTTCCAAGCAATGTTCACATGTTGAGGAGACTTGAGCTTCCTCTGTGGTGTCCTGATAACTTATCCATGCCATAAATGGAGGACAACACTTTCTGGAACTTTGGGCCAAGTTTAGGAGGGGCAACAGATGAGGGAAAAGAGGGATAGAAGTTGGAATGGTGAAGGCATGGGACAGGGAGATAGAGATGAAGAAAAAAAATATATATCTTGCATATACACACAACATAATTAAGATAGTTATACTACTAATTTTGCTTAATTAAAAAGAAGGGTTTGAGGTAATATTTATGAACAATTAAATGCTTATGTCTTGTACTCTGAATAACTAATTTAAAGGTGACAGTATAAAATATATTAATCATTGTTACTCTCCTATTTCTTGTTTTGAATTTTTTTCCCTTTAAAATAAAAAATATGAAATACTTTTTTCTGAATATTCAAGGATGATACCAATATGTAGTTTGAAAGTGCAGCGTCAAGAGCAGGTATATAGCTCAGAGGCATACTTGCCTGCCTGGTAAGCTCAAGGTACCATGCTGAATAGCAGTATCACACACACCAAAAAAAATACCCCATCAGGACTGACTCTCTGTTGCATGCATATAAATACAGATATATGCACAAATACACTTATGCAACATGTTACATACATTATATTTACACATGTACCTATGTGCATGTATATACATATTTATATACATTCATGAACATATACACATACATGTATATAAATGTATATACATATGTACACACATATACAAGATATATACACACATACATTCATATATGCAAACACATGTATATATACATGTAGGTACATATATGTATACAAGATATACATATATATATACACACACACGTATATCATGTATATATTTGCTTTTTTATTTCTTTCTCCTTTCACCCATCCCAGTTTCTATTTCTTTTTGATCAGTTTATTCAGATTCTACAGTATGTATTGTACATTCTGCATCTTATTTACCCTTTCAGCTTTTTACTAGGGAGATAGTACCATGTTTGCATATGTGTGTGTGTTTTATTTCAGCTATAAGTATGGTCTCCAATTGCATCCATTTATCTATAAAAATTTTCAGATCATGCTTTATGGATGAGTACTCCATTGTATAAAAAGACCATATCTTTTTTAATCAAGTCCTCAGTTGATAGACATTTGGGTTGTTTCCAAGATCTAGCTATTACAAGTTGCTGTAAACATGGGTGCACATATATACGTGTGGCACGATGTTTTCAATTCTCCTGGGACAATATCCAGCTGGTGAATAAGTGGGTCCAATGGGACATGCAATTTTAGTTTTCTCAGGAATCTCCACACTGATTTCCTCAGTGGTTTTAGCAGTCTACATTCCCAACAACAGTGGAGGATTCCTTTTTCTCCACAGTTCCTCCAGTATTGGTTACTGACTGATTTCCTGATGATAGCCATTCTTTCCAGGGTGAAATGGAATCTTAGTGTTGTTTTAACTTGAATCTCTTAAATACTAGTGATGTTGAACATTTTAAAATACACTTATTTGTTGAAAGTATCTCTTCATCTGAGAAGTATTTATCTCAGGTGTTGATTTTGGATTGGATCTTTAAATTTGGGAGGTCTGATAATTTTGAGTTCTTTATTCATTCTTCATAGTAATGCTTTGTCTCAGGAACAGCTGGCAAGCATTATTACTATTCAAATTTTTATAATAGGGAAAATGAAAATATTTAAATCTAGAAAAATACAATAATCATGCACATTTCCATTCACAATGAAGAGTCACTGTGGAACTTTAAGCATGTATTTTAAGAGTTTTTTTCCACAGTTCATTTCTGTCTATACCTATCTGTATATATACAACTATGTTTCAGTCCTGTGTCTTTCCATTCTCTTCTTGCTCTCTTCACATTTCACTGGTTTTTAAGTTTTAAAAAGCATAATGTGATATAAATATTCCCTAAAATTAAGCATCTTATGTTAATTTATATTTTATTAACATATGGTATTACATATTGAGATAAACATGTCTGTATACAAAAATCTGACAGTATGTAAATAATTTTTAGTTAATTTTATTGGGAAATAAATAGCAATGAGACAGTTTCAAAATCGATGAGGAGAGTTTCAATAATTAATACATTGCATATTGTTCTCTTCACAGTGGTTATTCATGATAGAAGAGGCAGACATGATATCCTGTAAAACACTATTAATATAAAGCTTTCTTCTAATTGAATTAAGAGAAAGTAGCTGTTTATCTATCCTCTTTTGTATATACAGATACAAAATGGTCCTTCATTTATATTTCCCTTTTCTGTTTAGTTTTGTCAGAGATGGTTATTCCATTGGCATTTAAATATTGTAAGTGCATGAACTCAGGAAAATAATTCCGTATAATCCAGTAGACCATAATAGTAGTGGGCTATCTGTAGGACTGGCAACGTCAGAAGTTGTTGACTTGAACATTTTACAGCTCAGCACATTAATATGGCTTCAGTTTTTATACTTCGTGTTTTTATTTTTCTGCTGGATGGTTAAGACCAAGATAAAGCAAGACCTATATCACAAGAAATGTAACTTTTGTATATTCCAGTCAGTAAAATCACCTCAGAATTTACTCTGAGACCCTGTACTACAGTTTGTAGAGCCTTTGTCAGTGTCATCCATGTGAATGAGTCACAGCCATTGTTTGATCAATTTACTCTCTGTGAAAGTCTGAGAGAATGATTTATGTTTGTCTGACTCCTCTTAGGCACACTCTACATCGTCAATCCCTTTCTTCTATTTCCCCATAATGTTCTTGATCAAAACATTTGGGACATCACTGAGTTACCTGATGTTGCAGTACAGGATCGCTTATGTCTGGAGTCCTCGCTGACCTTGAAAGTCTAAGGCCAACATGTTGGCAGAACTTGTAGCCCTTCTTTTTCTGTAATTTTTGGTCTGCAAACTTAAGTTGTTAATGCTCCAGAAGAGAAATTTAATTTTATTATTACCCTATAACATGGACATTTGAGGTTAAACTCACTATCTCTCTGAGTATCAAACATGTTAGATATTGCACGGAAAAGGTATTTTCCATGAAGTACTTATATGGTAAACCTTAAATCCATACAGAATGTGAAGAAAAAAGAGAAAAAAATAAATAAAAAAGAGGAATATAGAATTACATATTTTTACACAGAAATTTAGAAATCAAGCCATATACCACATTGTAGCAGGACCAACTATGATATTATTTTTTTCTGGCTCTTGTTTTCATTTATTGCCCTTTAAAAAAACAAGCAAACGTTTACTTGACAAACAGTATAGCAGTAATTGTTATGATGTGACAAGCAGTACATACTTAGAAGACCAGAATTACAGGCATTCCAAGCATGACCCTAGTATTACACATTTCTGTCTTCAGTGCAGTTGCTTAGTTTACAGGTATCAGCATACATAGTTAGTCAGGGTGAGAATCCTATCAACTAACTGCTAGCTTCAAAAACCTGATGAAGATTCTCAGGATCATTGTCTTACTTATCTTGAGCATATAAATGTATAGGTTTGCCTCTGTCATGTTTCCTAGCTTTTCTCTTGGCCCTCTCTTCATTGTCTAGTCCTTATGTTTTCAATTTCCTTTTAATTGTGTTCTACCTTTCTATTATTATTTCTTCTTTTGAGTTTTTACACTAGGGAGACTATTGGATATTTACACATGTGGGTCTGGTTTATTTCACTTATGTGTATATCTTCAAGTGGCATCCACTTAAATATAAAGGTTTTGATTTTGTCATTCTTTATAGTTGAGAAATACTGCGCTGTATAACATTGCCACATCTTTTTCATCGATTGCTCAGTTGATGGGCATTTTCATTGTTCAGAAATGAACTATCACAAATTGTGTTGCTATAAACATAAGTGCACCTATATCATTATGATGTTATATTTTCAGTTCCTCTGGGAAAATTCCCAGTAGGGGGATACGAATTTTGAATGCGATTTCCAGTCCTAGTTTTATAAGGAATCTCTACACTGATTTCCATAATGCTTGTACCAGTCTACAGTCTCACCAGCAGTGGAGAAGGATTTTTTTGCCCACAGCCTCTCCAACATTTGTTGATTCCTTTATGATAGCCATTCTTTGTGGGGTGAGATGGTATCTCAGTGTTGTTTTAATTTGCATTTTAGGGATGGCCAGTGATTTGGATCATTTTTTTCATATATTTATAAGCTTCTAGAATTTCT